AGGAATGGGAGCTCTCCATGAAATGAGGCCAGCAACAGAACCTACCGCACGGGGTGGCACACACTAATGAACGCTCAATTACCTGGCATGTGGTGTGTGTTACATGCATGTTAGGCACTATTATTTAACCGCTTGATTCCATTTAGAAGTCAGTTAGACTTCCAAATAGGGGGCCCCAAAAGGGTTTATAATCTGGTTTAAAAGCTACAAATCCACATTGTGAATACATTGTTACAGAAATCCTTTTCTAAGCTAATCCTCTTTACTATAGTTTTAAGAAGAAAATCACTCCTACAAAGGCCTTTGAGTATAAAACGAGGCCAGAAGAGGTTATCTGCATTGCAAAGAGACAAGAGCAGCAAACTGAACAGAAGACTGGGAACCCACAGGGGCTGGAACCCACAGGGACTCAGCCCAGAAAGCACTCTGCCCCCTTGGTCCAGGACCTCTCAGGGGTCTTCCAGATAGGATTTCTCTATGCCAAGCAGCTTCATACTCATGGCTCTGTGACCCTCACCTCCACCCCCACGTCTGCCCCTATGAACCCGAAACCTCCCCAAGGTGTGGACTTCAGCTCTCAGCCGTGTAGTGCCCAGATGCTACCAACAACTCTCGCCAGGAGGGCGGCCACAGATCACAAGCCCTGCCAGCCAGGCACCTAGTGCTTCCAGGGGCTAGCACAGGGAACAGGGGCTAGGGACACCTTTCATGCAGATTTGAGAACAGAAGTCACACGCATGTCTTTAAAAATCATGTTGAGGAATACATCAATTAATGCAGGTGGTTTCACTTGAAGCAAGAAAAATGAATGCAGCCTTAGAAAAGGAGGTATTTTCCCTAAGTAACATCAGAAAACAATTTGGTTTCACTCAGCCTGACCACAAAACATCTGCTTATATTAACTCAAACGTTAATATACCTGCATCATGGGTTATAAATGGAAATTTACTGTGCAAACCATATAACACTCTGCAACCATTTTGGAACATGTAACAACTGCTCCTATGGGTGAAATAATGAATTAAATTGGTATTATAGGGCTTAATTCACTATTTTACCCTGAGGAAAAATTCCAAAACAGTGATTATGAATTATGACCACAATTTGCTACAACACTTGCCAATTTAAAACCAATAGTGCCCTGCTTCTTTTCATGTTCAGGGTTGAGTGTGTTAAGTAAGATTTGGGTTGGCCAGACTGTAAGATATGGAACTTGGCCATCACTCCCAATTAAGGGAGAGGTTAAGTGAGCATTAAATAGGCGGCCCTCAAAGTTCTGCGTGTCACCTCCTTCTGCCCAATCCACTTGCAGGAACCCCGAACAAATTAGGGAGGTCTTGCTGGTTCCGATGGCTTCAGTCACTGATCCTGAGACCCTGAAATAACTAGCAGTATTGGGAACGGTCGGTAGCATGTTTACAGGCAGGGACTCAGGACCCAACAAGGAAGTGGAAGGACGGGGCACCAGCAGTCATTAAGTACAGAAAAGCCTAATGATGGGACCCTTTGCTCTTCCTCTGTGTTGTCTACATCCCCTTCTGGAGAGGTGCAGTGAATGCAGGTGTGCCCTGGGGCCAACACGAGCTGAGCAGCTCCCATGGACCCTGCATGCTGCCAGGTACTCTGCATTCCCAGCAATTCTGTGGGGTGGTGGTTCTTGCCACATTCAAGTCCAGTGAGGCAAATCTTCTTGCCCCAAATTACAGACAGACAGTGATATAAAGAGGATTTATAACAGACTCTATCGAGTCCCTGAGCCCACGCGCCTCTGTCATCTCTTGCTGGGATAGGGCATCGGTGGATTACAGACATCCTTGCTGCCAGCCTTTCTCTGGCCCACCCCAGCATGCTTTTAGAGGCTTCTAAAAGTCAGGCATTAGCAAAGGTTAACAAACTTCTGCTGCTCACCACTACCTACAGGAGAAAGGCAAACTTCTGACTCTTACTCTAGCTACTTCATTTATGAAGTGTATAAAAGGAAAAAAAACAAACAAACCCTAAACAGAAGGTAAATTCTGCCGACGTACATATCATTCAAGGGACAGAGCTCTGCGTATTTTTTCTCCAGCAAAGAAATGCGGGTCCTGTTACATTATTTGGGGGAACGTGAGATCATTACTTTCATTAATAAAATTCTGTACAAACTGAAGAGAAACTGAGATTTTAAGAAACTTCTGCCATCATTTGGCTATAGGAGAAGGGAGTATGGTCTAACTGCCCTTCACTTCCATGGGCTGGCTTCTCCACCTCAGCCTTCCTCCCTGTGGAGGGTCCCCAAAGGCGCTGTCCTTTGCCTTGCTCCTTCTCCCTGGGACACACTGTTTCAAACATCAGCAGTAGGATGTCCCCCACATTCACATCTCTAGCCTGAGCCTCGACTCCTACTGCCCACCAGACATTTCCCACGGATGTCCCAGAGGGTGTCTAAAGCGAAATTTGGCATCCCCTACCCTGCCCAGCCTGCTCTCCCTTCTGACTGCCAGCATCATTTCCCCAAGTCGGAAAGCTCCAGGCTCCTCCTCCCAGTCCAGTCCAGTCTCCCAGCACCTTTCTCATTCTTGCCTCCACAGCTGTGCCCGGACGCACGCCTCGTCGCCTCCTGACTAGCTGGAATCCACACCACAGTCCCTCCCCAGCCACCCTCCATACTCAAGGCTTCTAGCTGCCACATCTGCAGGGCCTGGGGACCACGGAGCACCTACTCAGAGGGTGCACTCTGGAATGCCGGAGAATCTAGAGGAAGGCAGGGGCCTGGCAAAGCCACTTGAAGTTGTTGACTTAGTCCCTTAACTCAGAATTACAAAGATAGCTCTGCTTGGTATTCCAAAGCAAATACCACAGGCTCCGAGAGAACACCCCAAAGCAAGTCCTAGGAAAGTCACAGCCAGTAGTACTATCACTGGGATCAGTTTTATGCTTCTAAGCTGACAATTTTAAAGAGGAAACCACTTGTGCTTCTAAGCTGACAATTTTAAAGAGGAAGCCAGTTGTCTGGGAGGGAGGGGTGGTAAATGTTTGTGAAACCAGATTATGTGTAAAATACATATGAAACGGGGCATCTGGGTGGCTCAGTGGGCTAAAGCCTCTGCCTTCGGCTCGGATCATGATCCCAGAGTCCTGGGATCAAGCCCCACATCAGGCTCTGTGCTCCACAGGGAGCCTGCTTCCACCCCCCACCCCCCGTCTGCCTCTCTGCTTGCTTGTGATCTTTGTCTGTCAAATAAATAAATAAAATCTTAACAAAAAATACATATGAAACTCCACTGAGCTCCAGCTGCCACGTGCATCATCCTCACTCAGCGCTCTCTGCACATGTGCGGCGGTGACCTGAGAGCCTGCGCACAGGCCAGTCTCTTCTACCCTGAGCAGCAGACAGCTGGCCTGCCAGGGAGAGGCGGGGGAACTCGTGAGCACGTGCTGCATGCCTGGCACCATGACGCACAACCCTCCCAGGCAGCTCGCTCAGTCATCAGCCCCACTGTGGGTCAGTCCTTTATTCGGGCTTGGAGGAGAAACAGCAAGCCTGGAGAGCAAGAAGATTCTGAGCCAGTGCTCTGCCCTGGCAGCTGATATCCTAGGGAGTGGACCCGTGCACTGGGCCACCCTCATGGGGCGCAGGCTGCAGACCCGTGTGTGTACCACCGCTCAGTGGAGCCTGCGAGGACGACTCCTCTGCCAGGCTGCCCATGTCAGCTTGCCACACAAGAGCACATATGTAAAAGGCTCGGCATATAGGGGGCATTCATAAGTGCACATAATAGCAGTAGTTAGAATGTTCTAGTAATGCTTACTGATGATCCTACTCATCAAAAGCACTCATCATTAGAACACTGTTCTAGGCTCTAGGAACATGGCCACAAAAGCAGACAAGCTCCTGCTCTCGAGGCCCTTGTATTCTAGTGGAGGGATGAGGGAATAAAATGGGGTACAGGGACAGAGGGGCTGGGGGCCACTGCAGGTTGGGTGGTCGGGAAGGCCTCCCTGAGGATCTAAGAGTTGAGACCTGCAAGCTATGAAGACAACAGTGAGGAGAACGAGCCTGGCAACACAGACGCCTCAGTCCACGAGGCTCAAGGATCCCTCTCTTACTTGACACGGCTCTGCCTCAGAGCTCTACTCCCTCTCTCTTCTGGAAAAGGAGAAAGGTTAGAAATCTGGGGATGGAGGGTTAGTAAGCTCTTCCACTTATTACCAGGACCTTGGGCCAGACACTACTGCTTTTCGCCCAAGTGAACAGGAGACGCCGCTGCGCCCCCACCTGAGCGTGACTAGTGACAGGGTCACAGAGATGATGATACCAGTGAAGTTCCGTCCCCCCTCAACCGCTGCACAAGTTAAGGTGTCATTTGTCAGGTAGAGTCACTCAAAGTGTGCCTGTGGGAGGTTGGTTCCCAGCTCCGTAGGTGGAGGACAGTGTCACGCCAGGGCCACTCTAGGGAACACTGCTCCCTGCCCCAGGAAGACAGATCCATTCAGCTTGGCCTGCCAACGTCTGCAGGACGTGTACACAGACACTGCCGTAAATGAGCCGGCAGGGGCTGTGCCAGGCCTGTCAGTTTTCTTTTGAAACTCACCCAGAGAGGACAGCCTACAACTGGCAACTAGACCTCGGTGGTTCCGGTGTTGCTCTTCATTTTTCAGTCATCGCTTCTGCTTTCTCCACATTAGCACAACACCGGCAAGGCAAACAATTAAAAAGCACCCCAGCAGTAATTATTAAAGACCCATTTAGTCTGGAGAACTCTTTTACTGCAGCTGAAAATAAATCTAATATTAGTAAAATTATTCCAAGGCAATTTCTTCTTTAATTATGCTACTGCGAATTTAAAACTTATGAAAAGCGTATTAAGAATGAGGAAATCAGGTGGAAAAGTTGTATCTAAAATATTTATTTATAACTATTTATTTAGAACCTGATATGACAGTCAAAGCAAGGGAATTTAGGATGACCTCCTAACTAACACCAGTTAGCAACACCTGACTGGGCAGAAAAACCTTACCATTTGTATTTCTTCTGGGGATAATTCATCGTCACCTTTGCCCTCTCCCCAGGTGCCCAGTTCAGGTTGTGATTCGGCTGGAACCTTTTCTGTTAAAAGAAGAAGAAGAGGAATGAGGAGGAGGAGGAGGAGGAGGAGGAGGACGAGGAGGAGAAGAGGAAGAAGAAGGAGGAGAAAAGCCGAGGGCAAAATAATTCATTTTAAAGAGGAGGGCTTGGGATGCAGGCACACTGTGAACATGGGATGGAACAGGATCCTATAGCTTGTTCCACATCAGGTTACTGAGGTACCACACCACGGTTCCCCTACCACGCTTCGACGTGTGTGTGCATGTGCGTGTGTGCACGTGTGTGGGTGGAGAAGGCACCTCACAGTGTCAGTGCCACGGTGAACTCAGCGAGGTTGCCAACAAAAGGGACAGTCTCCAGAACCAGTCTTCAAGTGTATTTTTACCTCAAAACACAAAAACACACTCACACGCTGCCTCTGCTTTCTAAACACTGCCAAACATATGGGCTTTCTCATCCACGAAGATAGAGGAAATGACATACCGCTCCCTAACCCTATTCCTCTCCCAGAAGTAACCAGTGTCAGCACCGCGAGGTGGCCTCACAGACTGGACCTGGAGTGTTCACATACACACAGGGATGCAAGTCCCTGCTTCCCCAACACTTCAGTCTGGAAATAACATGGGGTTTTGTGTGGGGGGGGTGCTTTCTGTCTAGCATACTGTTCTGAAACAGTGTTGCTGTTTCTGACTTCCCCTATCTCAGGAGACTATCCTACCTCAGTCACCTAGATCTGGTCCCCTCTTTCAAAGTGCCACGCGGCGGTCTGCTGCAAGGACGCGAGGCTCCTTGCAGACCTGCACTGCTGTGGAGGAACCTCGGTTACGTGGATTTCCTGCTGCCGTAATGGCACCGTGTGCTTGTCCATCCTTTGAGACTCTCTGGTGTACTCCAGGATAGACGTTGAGCACCAACTGCTAAGTGGAGGTGTAGGAACGTTCCAGAGAACTTTTTGACCGCAATCACACAAACGGGGGATGGAGGCATTCTGAAGTGAACCAACGGCTCAGGCTCCTAGGAAGGGCTGTACCACCCAGGACCACGCCAGAGAGGCCTGCCCGGCTTGAAGGGGGCTGCGGAGGGAACAGGGGAGTGGACAGAAGGGATCTGCCCCTGGTAGACTCTGTAACGGGGTCTTTCTAAAGGCTGATGCTGCGTCTGGTGTCTCAATGCTGCCTCTAGGCTTGTTGGGGACTGCCAAGTACCGCTTCTTTTTCTTTTCTTCCTCAACCTCAGGAAATTTCCCAGAGCTGAGCTCAGCCCCATGAGCTGGGCACCAGTCCAGAGTTTCTGTTTTGAGACTGATGAGGGAATAGAACATATGACAGCACCGATTCAGAGAAAGCAGTTTAGGCCAACCCCGTATACAAGGTATCACTCCAGATACATCATCACAAAAAACCTCCATGTCATCTAGAACATGGCGTAAGTTTAGAATAAATGGTGTTTTTGCTAGACCTGTATTTATAAAAGACATGGTTATACCTAACTTACATATAATAAATATACATGCAAATATAATAAACATATTACTGATATATAAAAGAGAGACTGAAGGCACCTGTAGGAACTGGGGGGCTGTGTTTCTGAGAGGGATCTTCAGGCAGCAAACTTTGCACTTCGAACTCCCCCCACCTCCACCTCTAGAGCCCTCTGTTTCCTATGTGACCTCATTATGGTATCCACGTCAAGCTTTTACTCTGATGTCAAGGGTAAGAACACCAAAATTAGAAACACAGGAACATCATTCACATCAGCTCCAAGGATAAATGGATTCTGAGCTGGAATGCACAGTTTGGTAAGAGGATGTGTGCTCTACAGGGTGCTGACCTTGGAGCCGTTGGGAGCCACCCCGGCCTGCCACTGCAACAATCAGTGGGGAGCACAGCACTCTTCCCACCACCCTCTACACAACCCTCCCTCAGCCTAGCACCAGACCCATGTGCAGGCCCTCTGCCTGGCCAGGCCCCACCTGCCTTGACTGCTGGAGGCCCCACACTCCTGCCCTTTCCATGCACCGTACTGCCAACGTCCCGTTCCACTCCACGCTTTCTGGCCTCTGCGTATTTACACACGCTGTTCCCTCTGTCTAGAATCATTTCCATTTTAGGTCCAGACTCAATTCTTAGGGCATTTCCTCCTGAAGCCCCTCTGGGGGATCTCTGTTCTTCCCACCAGTGCCCTCTTTTAGGGCACTGCTCACGTTCTCGGGGGCTAGAATCTTGTCCTTCCCATCAATTGTGAGCTCCCTGAGGGCAGGAACCATGGCTCACTGGAGAAATGTAGGAAGTATTCACAAATAACCAGACCCATCTTAACGCTAGGGGAAACCAGTGTAAGGAAACAAACTGTAGACAGGAACAGGAAGGGGGCGCCTGGGCGGCTCAGTCGGTTGAGTGTCTGACTCTTGATTTCAGTTCATAATTTCAGGGTCACAAGATCAAGTCCCTGTGGGGCTCTGCTCTCAGTGGGGAGTCTGCTTCAGATTCTCTTTCTCTCTGCTCCTCCCCTACTCCGAGGTCGATTGCTCTGAAATAAATAAAATCTTAAAAAACAAAAAACAGGGCCACGCAGACCTCGTGCTGCCATAGTAAGAATATGGAAGAAGGCGGCCTAACATCTGATGAGGACAGAAGGGCTGCATGACCACAGAGCTGCTTGATACTGTGGATTACATGAAAAGTAACCAAGCCAGCGGCTTTTTTTTTTTTTATATTATTTATTTATTTGACACACAGAGAGAGAGAACAAGCAGGCAGAGAGGCAGGCAGAGAGAGAGGAGGAAGCAGGTTCCCTGCTGAGCAGAGAGCCCGATGTGGGGCTGGATCCCAGGACCCTAAGACCATGACCTGAGCCGAAGGCAGAGGCTTTTCTTTTTTTTTTTTTTTTTTTTTTTTTAGATTTTATTTATTTATTTGACAGTCAGAGATCACAAGTAGGCAGAGAGGCAGGCATAGAGAGAGGGGTAAGCAGGCTCCCTGCTGAGCAGAGAGCCCAATGCGGGGCTCGATCCCAGAACTCTGAGATCATGACCTGAGCTGAAGGCAGAGGCTTAAACCACTGAGCCACACAGGTGTGGCTGTGGCTGTCCAAACTAGCGGCTTTTTAAAAAAGAAAACAGGAGTGTGGCAAGCTCTGCCCAAAACTATACCACCTAGTCCTCTCCTGAAGTATTTTTTGTCAAAGTTAAAGCTCATGTTTCAAAAGAGAAATGAAAAATAGAACAGCTAAGCTGAAGGATTCCACATAGCCCAGACTTAAGTCTTTCTGCAAATTGTAGACACGCTTAGCACAGTGTCAATGGGCAGATGCGTAAGCCCGCAGGGGGAGCAGCTAGGGCTGGGGGAACGAGACTGACCTGCCAGCATCAAGGTCGGGATGGACGAAATGTCAAAGGCCCCCAGACAACAGGGCAGCAGCTCAGAGGTGGGTGCAGGCTTCTCCCCTCCCTCACAAACTCCCGGGTGAGCACACACAGGCCTGGGGCTCTGCATGGCCCAGGCCCACGACTCCCAAGTGTCTCCAGCCCTGAGGCCTCCCCTGAGCTCTAGGCTCACTGTTTCCACCTGAAAATCCATCAGATGTCCCAGGCCTAGTATGCGCAGACGAGATTTCTGGTGCTGCCCCGCCTGCTCCTCCCAGCCCTGTTGCCAGACTCTGCTTCCTCCTGCCCTCCTCCCGGCCATCCATCGGGCTGCTCGAGCCCCAAGCCCTGGTGCTCTGTCCCTCTGCCCCTCACATCTCCCAGCCCACCTACTCACTCATCTGCAGCTCCAAAGGATGGCTGGAGTTGGGAGCGATTCTCTCGACCACCACCTCCAACACCACTGCTGCCTCACATGTGACAGTCACCCGGTGCCCAGACAGCAACAGATCCGGACAAGCCCCCTGCTGCCACTTCTTCCTCACACGGCTCCATCCCACGCAGCAGTCGGAGACGCTCGGACTACAGTCTGATCTGCCACTCTCTGCCTGAAAGCCTCCAGGGGCTTCTGGCCACACACAGAATCAAAGGCAAACCTTGGCCACAGTCTGTACAGCCTGCAGGCTCAGGCCTCGGGCTCCGTCCTGTCTGTCCCTGTGCCGTCCGTATTAGGGCCTCCGCCTGCAGAGTGTGCACACGCGTTTCCATGTGCCAAGGTCTTTTCCCCCCACACCTCTTCGCTGGCTGGGTCCTCTGCCTGGAGAAATTTTACCTTCGCCACATCCCCTGTTGCATCGTGCTTCACTTTCTTGCACTTCACAGACACTGCGTTTTGTCAAAGTGAAGGTCTGTGGTAAACCTGAGTCAAGCAAGTCTACGGGCGCCATTTTTCCAACAGCATTTGCTCACTTCACGTCTGTGGGTCGATCAGTGTGAGGTATACTGCCGTTTAAATAACATAAATTCTTCTCATCCACAAACTTGGGATGCTTTTCCATTTATTTGGGTCATCTTTAATTTCTTTCAACAGTATTTTGTAATTTTCAAAATATAAGTTTTATACTTTGGTTGAACTTATTCCCCAAGTACTTTATTCTTTTTGGTGCTCTAAGGGAATAGTTGCTTTTTAAGTTCTACAGCCCTACAAACCAGCTCTACAAACCAACCTAAGACAGGTGATTTGTGGAACACCGACTGCACAGGCCAGACGCTGCCAGGCCCTTCATACACGAGCCCATGTGATACTCACAACAAACCACGGCCACATGGTGCCACAAGAAAGCTTAGGCTGAGGGTTTACATAACTCGTCCAGGGTCACAGCTCAGGACAGAGGCCAGGCTGTGAAACCAGGTCAGTCTGACCCCAAAGTCGCTTTGTGACCCCCTGCTGCAGTCCTGTTTCTGCTCTTCCCTTACAGACCCACAAACAGGAAACAGATGAAGGTGGGATACACAATGGTAACAGCTTTCTTTTGGGAAAAAACCCCAACAAAATGAACTATTTAAAAATCTGTTATACATGCAAGAATCTGTACAGACAGGAAACTGTGTACATTTTTAATATTCAGATTTTACTAGGCCTTGGGATGCCATGTAATTAAGGGAAAGGGGACTACATAACAAGCATCACTGAATGACCTGAAGGAAAGGGTGGTCTGTGCAGTTGCGGGGACAGGGAGGCTGAGCCAGCAGAAGCCGGCAGGTGCCAGGGTGCAGGCGAAAAGGCAGGAGAGGACTGGCCACAGGGCATCTCAGAGACATCCCAGGACCAAGAGATTGTGGGGGTGGCGGGGAGTGTCTCAAGATGCAAGGAGAGCAGTAAGCAAAGGCAGCACCAATAACAACTTCCTACCATCCCCAGGCCCCTAAAAAGTCAGTATCATCACCCCCATTTTAAAAATGGGGGAACTGGTGCTCAGAAGCGCCGGGAGGTGTTAGAGCTGGGACCATGACAGTCTCAGAAGAGACATCTTCATACCATCCCGTCTCCTATGCGGAGCTCCGGAGCTAACTGGAGAGCGCGCCCTTAGTATCTGGAGTGCTGGTTGTGTCAGGAGAGAACCTCATGATTATAAAACAACAAGTACTGACTTTAAGATGAGAATATAAACTGTGAGGAAGAGGGTTCTTTCAACCTGACGGGGTATTTCGTATTGCCCAGAGGCATGAGGTTCCTTCTACATCAGGAAACACTTCCACAGTAACTAAAAGCAATCGGTGCTCCCAACCACCTTCCTGCTGCCTCTCGTAGTTTTCAGTGATGGATTGTTTCAAAGATTTATTAAGCGCCTCCTGTGTCAGGCGTTGTTGTGGGTGCCAGTGTTAGAGCAGTGTAAAAACACAGAAATTTCCTGTCCTCGTGTCCTACATTTTAGTAGGAGAGACAGATCATAAAGAACATAAATGAGTAAAACAAACAGGATGGTGGCACATGCCAGGGAGAAGGATAAAGCAGGGAGGATGGGAAGTGCTGGGAGGCCTCAGACCTTCATCTTCCCTTTACTCACCCTCATTACGGGGGGATCCTAGCCTGTCACAGGGGATCGATGCTGCCTACGGACCTGCCCCCTGACCTCCAGACTCGTAAGCCCAACTCCCTACTCAATACCTCTGCCAGGCATCTCAAAATTAACATGCCTGACCCCGAGTTCCTGATCAAACCAATCTCCTGCATCGCAGTGAAGGCCAGCAAGCTTCACCCTTGTCCAAACCACCACAACCTTCCTCGACCCCTCCTCCTTGCCTGTCCCATATACAGAAGCGAATGCTGTGGCTCTACTTCAAGACGTATCCAGAATTCCAGCACTTTCCCCCGCTCCCCTGCTACCATGTGTGTCGTGCTTGTCTCTGGGGGACTTCAGCAGCCTCTTCACTGTCCCTATTTCTCTTCTTCAACAGAGCCACCTCTGGGGCCCCATTCAAACACAGTGGCTATGACAGTGCTGGCCTCCCCGTGGCTTCCCACCTCCTTCAGAGTAAAAGCCATAGTCCTCAAGCAGCCGGTGCCCTGGCCTGTCCTTGCTTGCTGTCCCTCTGCCTCGCTCCCAGCCTCCAGGCTGCTCATCCGCCCTGCCAGGCGTGCCCTCTTCTCGGGGACTCTGCATGTGCTTTCTCCAGCCTGTGACACTCTTGCTCGGAGAGACACAGGCCTCACTCCTCGCTGCCCTTAGGACTCTCCTGAACTATCAAGCTCTCCGACCTCTCAGACGGGCCTAATCTCTCCTATGACCGGGACCCTCTATCGCACAGCACGTACAATGACGGTACACTACACTGGTGTGATTATGCCATTAACTTGTTTCCTGCTGGTCTGTAAGCACAGGGGCCTTATTTTTTACTCAAGACTATCCCCAGCACCCAGCACAGTGGCCGGCACAGCAGCACTCGTGTGAGCTCTGGGCTCAGCAAGGGCAGACAGCTCTTCACCAGACAGCTGGCCTCAGCTGGGTCCCAGGGATCTGTACGGGCTTCTTCCCACTCTCATCAGCCCTAACGGGATTTCTCGAATGAATGAGTGATGGAATGAGTGTGCTGTGTGTGACATGAGTGAATTTAGACATGCTATCACCATATGCCGTCTCGTGAAAAGCTGGGCCCCTTTAGTTCGTGAGTGATGCTGGGGCTTTTCTTCTTCAGGGACCAGTGGAGATAGGACATGTGCAAGGCCTCTGGCCTATGGGATCAAGACAGCCCCCAGAGAGGACAGGCTTAGGGGTCTATACAGAGTAACCCAGGTGCTGCCCCTTTCTTGGTTTTGACTTTGGACAGATTATATAATCTCTTCAAAGCTCGATTTCCTCACACATAAAATGACGACAACACTACCTCACAAGACCCAATGAGACTCAATCTGTTGACGGCCCAGCATGAGCCCAGCACAGTGGAGGGCTCACTGGATGCTGGTCTCCCCACCACTCCCCATGGACACTGTTTCCAACCACAGAAAGCACCGCTGGCATCTTTCAGGTAATCATTCCCACACTGCATTCTGACTTCCCTCTCCTGTACAACACAGGGAGAAAATCAGACGGAGAGGCAGTACAGATCTATGTACCAATCCTGAGTCCACCATTTATGAGCTTTTAAGTTTGCCAGCCTCTCCCAGCCTCTCAGAAGGCTCACCTCAAAAACCAGTCCACAAAACTCCTCCCAGAGGGCTGCTCTAAGGATGGTGGTGGTGACTGGAAGGATTCAGGGCAGTGCCCGGCATCCGGGAGATGTGCCGGAAATGATAGCCACTGTGATTAAGACGGATGAGGAGGGGACTGAGGAAGACGGCCAGGCCCTGGGGCCTCAGCACGCCATCATCCTGAGATTCACGCAAAGCAAAATCCCACCCCTGCTATGCTTGAGATACAGCAAACTAGGCATGCGCTGCCTACACAGGGTGGCCACGCGGGGTCAGTGCTAAGAGGATGCTGAGATCACGAGACAGGGCACCACATGGGGCAGGGGAGGCAGTGTCCCACCTTTCCTGGGGCTGGTGGGCAAGATTCCTTGAGCAGAGCGCTCTTACATTCCTCCTGGTTCAGAGTCCCCAGCCCCCACCATGGTGATGCACCACAAGTCAGGCCCTCTCCCTGGACTCTGCTGGTTCTGGGGTGACTGGAGGAACCATCCTGCCCAGCCCCAACAGGCATGAGCTCCTAGTGGGACAGAAAAAAACGCTGTCCTTCTGTGTTTCCTTTGCTTTATGCAAGTACAAGCACCACAAGGTGTCTGGGACAGTATTCCTTTCTTTGCTTTGTATTTTTGCCAACACGTCATAAGGAAGAGATGCGAGGCAAGACTTGGGTTTCAGTTCATACCTGGGTATTCTTCAGTAGCAGGTTTTTCTTCAGACTCTTGTGAAGGATGCCGTGAACCTTTCTCAGAAGACATGGATTCTCTTGTCTTTGTATTTGGCTCTGGTTCCAGCTTAGATCTAAACAGATAAGCGGCAATCATATAATCTGCTGACACAAGATTCTGCTCTGACAACAGAGGGAGTCACATGTGACCTCTGCACACGTGTCCTGTGCCCTCTATCGGAGAGCAGGGTTGCTAAGCAGCAGCCATCCCAACACACCTCCCGTGGGGCACTTACTACAAGGGACCGGGGCCACCACCTGCAGGGGGAGGCTGGGCACCCCCACCGAAGCTCGCGGGGGGAAGAATGCAGTCAGTAGGCGCTGAAGGCAAGAATGCACGAACCCACCCCACATACCGACACCACACTCAACACGTGCGCGGTGAAGCCTGACTGCTCAAGAAATCCAGGAAGCGGGTTGTTTCACACCAGTGCAAAAGTGTTGCTAAATACACACACACCCACACCCACACATCATGTAGTATATGTAAGTAGTATCTTAAATAAATTCCCTACAAAAACTCAAGCGACTTGTCTCAGGAACCAAGGCCTCTGCACTCCTTCTATGCCTGTCCTCTTTTCCACCTTCAGGGTGAGCCTCGATCTCACCTCACTCAGAGAGGCCTACCCTGACTGTCCCATCTCAAGCAGGCTCCCCCATGTCCCACTGTGCCATATCCCTTGTCTTCTTCATTGGCAGGCAGCATCTGGGATGACCTCGCTAGTTCCCTTGTTTATGGCCTGCCTAGCTCCACAAAAGGGCACGCTCTCAGAGCAGGGTCCTGGGCTATCGGCCATGGTCACCACGCAGCCCCAGGTCCCAGATGGGTGCCTGGCATCCAGTGTTTAATAAATATAGGTTGAATGAATGGGTATTTTCTGACGGTCAGTAATTAGCTAGCAAGAGAAAAAAACTGTTGATTATGAAACAACAAGCCTTGTAACAGATTTCCTGGGACCCACACAGCACTATAAAAATTATGGGTAGATTGCTAAAAAGATCTATGGTGAATTCCATATTACTAGCCAAGAAGACTACACATAAAAGGAACAATGTAAATACACGTAAGGATGATCTCGTTAAAGCCAGCTAACATTCATGGAGGGCTTATTATGTATTGGGCATTTTTCTAAGCACACTATATGGATACATTGTTTTAATGCCATACATCCCTATAGGGTAGGTAATGATCTGACCTTCCTCCAGAGGAGGAACCGAGGTATATGGAAGTGAGGAAACTCGCCCAGGTCAACAATTTCATAAACGGCTGGGCTGGGATGTGACTTAAGGAACCTGCGTCAGAGGCTGCTCGTAACAGCTGCTCCGTGGACAGCAGTCTACCCACCATGCTCCATGAATAGGGACTTCTGGTAGAATGAATCTGAGAAAACCGAGTCAAAGCTACATGGGGACTTTACAAAATTTTAGAGCCCTTAATAATGCTAAACTGTATTTTGAATTTCCAAAAAGGATGTCTTTCCCAAATAACCTGACTGCAGAGACCATTTTCATGGGGCTTTTGGAAAAAGACTAGTGTGCTAATAAGAAAGGCTGTTTAGGAAATGCTCTCCTACAACATTCCTAAAAAAATTTTCCAAAAGTAACTAACATCAACCTCCCTAAGCATCCAGCGATGGTGGCTGGGAAACAAGTCAGTCTAAAGCTTAGTGCCTCAAAACAGCAATCATCATTTACTATCCATCACTGTTTCTGGGGCCAGAAATTTGGGAGTGGCTTGGCTGGGCAGTTCTGACTCTGGGTCCTTTCTAAGGGTGCAGCCCGATGCCGGCTTGCCACATGCCAGCCCGATGTCAGGGGGAGGATTCCCTACCAAGAAGGCTCCTTCACATGGCTGCCAAGCAGGTGACGGTGGGGAGCCTCGTTCTCTCATCAGGGGTCCACGGGAGTGTCACTGTCTCCCCAGAGCAAGCAGTCTCTGAGACTGTGGCAGAAGTGTAGGCACCTTTTATAACAGCCCAAAAGTCATATGCTGTTATTTCTGCCCAGCTGTCATTTCTGCCCAATGCCATGGCCCAGGCAGTTACAATGGTCCCCTCAGGCTCAAGAGGAGGGGACACAGACCTCACACCTCCCTCCAGTGGAGCAGCGACAAAACTGATTTTAATAAGACCACATGGGATGGGATATGTTTAGATGCAGCCATCTTTGGAAAATACATCTGCTACTCCAAGTATCACAAATACGGAGATACAGTTATAAGGATATTCATCACAGAACTATTTACGATAACAAAACAATGACTTAAATTGTTCACCAAAAAGTGCCAGGTTTTCAGGGAAAGAGAAAACCCCATTTGTAATAGCCAAAACAAAAGATGAAAGACTAGCAAGGACAATAAACATGACAGTATAGATTTAACAAGAAAAGCCCGAACCCATGTGTGAAAAGCTAAAAGATGTTCTTGAAAGATACAAAAATATCCTGTAACAAATGGAAAGAGATATATTCTTAGACGGGAAAAAGAAATATAAAGAGGTCAGTTCTTGTGGAATTTAAGAAACACAACAGATGAAAATGGTGGGGGTAGAGAGAGGTAAACCATAAAACAGACTCTCAACAACAGAGGACAAACTGAGGGTTGCTGGAGGGGAGGTGGGTGGAGGATGGGCTAACGGGGGCAATGGGGACTGAGGAGGGCACTTGTGGTGACCACTGGGCGCTGTCTGGATGTGATGAATCACTCAGTTCTACTCCTGAAATTCCAGGAGAAACCTAGATGAGGCTTCCAGTTGTCTTCTCCCGCTGAAATACGACAGACGGAACCTACTTCTCCCAGCAACGGGAATGAAAGCACATACAGAGTGCTGTCCACACGGAAAGCTCCCTGGGGCCTTGGCATATGGTCTTTTCACTGGGAGTCAGTCATGCAGCTGGGAGCATCCAAATAGCTAGCCTTAGTTACTCAGTCTTCAGTTCCTCCAGAGGTCAAATGCAAATAGTCTGGTCCAAGGCCCTTCTCATAAATCACACTGTTGGCATAAACTCTCTGGTGTGATGGTCCGAGGCTCCAGGTGTGCAAAAACAATACACCCTGTTATCACGCAGGATACACCAAGAGCTTGGAGATTATCTTCCAAACACTGGCCCACGGCCAGTTTCTTCACAAAGTGCAGAGTTGGGACATCCTAACGCTATGGAGTAAACCTTCTCTGCACAACTTCTACTCCAAGTTTGCTAGAAGTTTTCATCATGAAGGCTTTATGATAATTTGGGAGTGTACTCTTGAGAAAGAAGTAACATTCTGCCAGGGCAGAAAGGGTATGGTAGGCCCAGGGAAGCTAGGAGTGGGGCCACTGAGTCACAGGATGGTCTCTGCACTCTGGAGAAGTATTGGCTATTTTAATAAAGAATTATTTTATACTTTCACAAGCCACGGATGAGAGTTCCTGTTACGGCACACCTGTCCCCCAATATCTGTCATTTTTATTTGAGCCATTCTAATAAATATGAGACGGTATCTTGTTGTTTTTTTGTTTTGTTGTGAAACAATCACATGCAGAAAGGTCTTCAGTATGATCTGAAGAACCCTTTCTTCTGAACCACCAAGAGTAACCTGCCAACCTGTCCCTTTCACCCCTGAGTATTTTAGGGATTTCCTGAAAACAAGAGCATTCTTTGATACAACCAGAATACAACATAAGAATCACGAATCTTCATGTTGCTACACTACGTCCAGCCTTTCCCTGGGCCCCATTCTATTTTGCCTAGTTGTCGCAATGATTCCATTCCTGACAGAAAGATCCAGTTCAGAATCACACAAGGCATCTGGTTGTCATTTGTCTTCAGGCTTCTTTGGTTTAAACACTCCTATTCTCTCTCCCCAAGTTTCATGACCTCGATACATGATGATGTGCCAGTTATCCTGTAAGACATCCCCTAATCTGAGTGTGTCTGATCTTCCTCACGGCTGGATTCAAGTTACGCATCTTTGGCATAAAGAGTGACATTCTAGGTACGTTCTTTCTCAGTGCGTTCCATCAGGCTGCCCATGGTTTCACTTTGAGCACCTGACTGAGGTGGTGGCTGCCAGGCTTTCGCACTGTGAGGTTACGCTTTCCCCCTTTGTGGTTAAGGAGTTAGGGGGGACGGAGCACTTTAATACTATACACTTTCCCCCTTTGTAGTTAAGAAGTTATGGGGGAGGGAGAGCTTTGATACTATGTAATTATCAATTTCAAACCCTCAAAAGTACTCACTTCTGTACTCCTATGTAGATGGACTCATGATGTCCTATTTTATTCAGTGGGTTATCATCTGCTACTATCTTTTACTTGATGCTCAAACTGTCTCTAATTTGGCCAGTGGAAACCCCTTCAAACTGGCTTGGTCCTCCCTCCATGTTCCCATCATCTTTTGAACCCTTTCTTGCTGTCTGCTGCAACAAAATATTCCAGGTTCATGTTCTACTTTCCCTGCCCCAGCCCCAGACTGAGCCGTTTCCACAAGGAGCCCTGGTTCCTGGAAGCTGAACCAGCTACATAGAAGCCAAGATCTGAGTGCTAAGCAGGCTTATGGCTACTGGGGTGTCCCTGCTTCCAGGCCTATTTGCATACCCACCCATACATACTCATTTACAACCATATTTATTCCTATTTCCACCTATGCAAACTGCACAGGAGTACACCCTGGTACCTTTCCTTCCAACCCAGCACCGCAGGGTTCATTCTGGCTTCTTCCCTTTCACTTCCCCAACTGTGTGAAACCTGGCTTCCATCATCCTTACATATTTACTTATTTGACAGGTACCCCTACATAACCAACTTGTCATCTCCACTGCCACTCTTCCCCCCACAGGGGCACGTCCCTCTGCTTACTCTGGCTGTGACCAGCCTTGGGAGACTGTGCCCCCCCACCCCCACCCCTGCACTCACTCACCCAGCTCTGCCCCACTCTACAGGGGCAGGACTCAATTGTTTAAGAAGAAGGGCTTAATTGACTTTTAAATAAAGGGCTCCTGTAATGTCTATAATCCTTTGTGTCGAGATATGCTAATGTGCCAGTTTTTAATTTAAAATGAATAAAAGACTGCAATGCAGCAGACAAAGTAGAGAGCATTTTTTTTCCCTAAGTGATAAAAACAGATCTCATTATACACAGAATGTCTACTGCAATCCTCAGGGAAATTACAAATTAACTAGTTGAAGGCACTTTGAAAAAAGCAATTTTTAAAAAGTCATCAGAAAGATCAGTTTATGCCCCATGATTTATTTAAATTGATTTCTCTAACTGAAGGCTGAGCATTTCATAGCTGCAGTCAACACGGTTTCCACCTGGCCAACATCTGTTTCCAGGCCCCTTATTTGAAAACCCTGGGATTCTATTTAAAATTTAAGAAGAGTAGAAAGAGACAGAAAGAGGGAGGAATCAGGCTTTTCAGTTTTGAAACAAGAAGGTATGTGGAGGAAATTCCTTGCTTTATACACAAGTTAAAAGAAAAGTGATTAATATTCCAGAGTTAAGTACGGCTCTTACACTTCTTTTCTGCTCCCCCTGAAGGCTCTCTGTAGAAAGAAGATATTTTTGGTACAGGATATTAGAAACCATCATTCCAGAAGTGGCTTTCCGACTCAGGTACCCACCCCAGCGCAGGCACTGTGCACACACAGAACAGGAAATGCCTCCCAGTGCTGTAAGTAAGCCGTCCTCACGCCCACACGGGTGTCTATTGGGCATCCAGCCCCAACTGCACAAAGTGTGGTCCACAGACCTGTGCCAGATGACGAACTGTTTGTTACTGGTGAGCTATGAGACAAGCACAAAAACCAAGAGCAAGAAACGTTTATAGCAATTTGCCACTGCCACAAAATCAGAAACACGTCCACTGAACAGGGTACAGAGTTTAGCTGAGACTCTGGTGGTGGGGTCGGCCGCAGCATCGGCTGTAAACCTGACCTGTGCCAGGGAATGTGCATCTGTGTACGATGGACGACAACACACGACAAAAAAGCAGTCCCTCACCTCGAAGGTCTGTTGTGAGCCAGGGGTCAGCACACTTTTTCTGGAAAGGGCCAGATGGTAAATATTTTAGGCTCTGGAGAACATAGATGACCTCCATCTTGTATTCTTGGTTTCCTTTTTTTGTTTTACAAACCTTTAAAAATGGAACAACAATGTTCAGCTTGAGGGCTGAACCATCACAAGAAAAGGCTGGACTTGGCCCAGAGGCCGTGGTGTGCTGATCCCCAGTTCCAGAGAGTGAGTGCAATCCAATCATGGATCGGGAAACAGGGCACATGCTTTCAGCTCTCAGATAAGTAAGATTTGAGGATCTAATGTCTAACACGGTGACTATAGTTCTAACACTGTATTGTACAACTGAAACTCACTAAGAGTAGAACTTAAACAATCTCACCCTCAAAAAAGAAGAAAGACAAATATGTGAGGTGACAGGTCTGCCCCTGGATGAGATGAGCAGGAGCCATTCCACAACGTGCCCGTGTATCTAATCACCGAAGCGCACACTGTCAGCATCTTACAAGGTCACGTCACTTACTTTGGTAAATCTGACATTTTTACAAGGGACAAAGTCACTGCTATGGACCTCGTATCACATTGCATCACTTAGAGCTTTCCTTCACCTTTGTTGTCGTCATCCCTATCCCTCCCCCATTACTGGGAAAATTTATTTAGCTCTTAGTATGTGCAGGATCCTGGGTTAGGGGCCAGATTTTAAGACGTAAAAGACCCAAGGCTGCCCTTGCCAAGCTTCCAATCTAGTTGAGACGAGGGAACTGAATCATAAATAATAATACAAGTACACTCTGTAAGGATCAGGTAAGCAGGGGACAGTATGAGTCACAAGAGCACCAGTGCCTTTTTTCAAAAAGGTGGAGGAAAAAAGGAATGTAGTGAAATTTTGATCTTTCGTACCAACGTAAGGGAGTAAATAAGAAACGTAAGGTCAAGCACCCAGCCATGGGATCAGGCAATTATTTCCTGAAGTGTGCTTGCCTGTGATTCAGGAGTGAAGGACTCCATAGCGAGCAGGGCTTAGGAAATCAACGTACGGCAACGTACACTCAGTGTTCCTCAGGCTCATTTGACCAAGAAACTATCTTTAGAGTAACACTTACTTAGGTCACCAGAATCCCCTCAGGTACCTTAGGAAACTCTCACATTACCCTTCATTAGAATTAACAGTAGGATCTGCTAATATTCTGGAAATTAACTTTGAGCTACATGGGTAAATGCAGAAGGTGCCTCATCCTTCTCCCATAATGTTTCGTATCACCCAATGTGAGAAGAAACCACCGCCTTTCGGGCAGTGGGTTTGATCCTTCTCAAATCTCCCTTGAGACAGGAGAAAATAGCCAAAAGTTCCCACTCTAAGGACATCCTAGTACTAGTGAAAGTAAAGTGTTCAAATCTGGGCCTAAACCAGCACACTTTAAAGCCAGGTCATGGGTAAACATAGGATCAGATAATCCACCCCTGGGTAAGAAAGAAACAGAATTTACAGAGACAGGCCTAATAGTGTAAGTTTGAATCTGTTCCGCGGCTCCTATCTTCCCTACTGTGCCTCCAGAGACAATCCTCTGAACTTGCAGAAATGAACATCGGAGGTTTGTTCTGGTTTCTAGACAGCCACCTTAAACCTCTTCCCCAAGGAAAAGCCAGTAATACAGGACCTGATTACTTTCTGAAAAGGGGAAATGTTTCTGATTAATTCAGATGGCTTATAGAGTATATTCCCGGGAAGGCATGTGATAGTTAAATTATTACCAAAATATTAGTGCTTTAAGATGGTTAGGATGATAAAGGGCATATTTCAAACCCTTTTGGGAAGACAAGGCCACTTATACCGATGTTGTGTCCAACGGTGGCCCACAGCCTTTTCAACATATAAGCTCTGACTGTGTAGACCTGAGGAGCCAGGCATTAGTGACCAGGCCTCACTCCTTCCCTCACTCAAGAACCAGTAATTGAGCACCTACTTTGTGGCAGCCTCTGATCAAGGTGCTGGGACCCAGAGATGGAAGACACAGTGTCTCTGCCTTTAAAGGGCTCAAGGTCTTAGCGCAGGAGAAAGAAGAGACACGAGACCACAGTCAAAGTTCTTACTGGCCGTCAGGTCCAGCTGAGGACAACTGGCAGCAGGTGCCACTGCCAACTCAGACAGCACAGCTGCTGGGGAATGGGAGAAAAAAGTCACACTTGACAATGGCGCTACCCTTCTAAGAAAACACACAGAGAGAGAGAACAGCAGAAAGATCAGCTGAGACCACTTCTGGCTTAATGAGCAAAACATTTCCCCCATTTTGGGATAAGCGCCCTCTGCTACGAGAGACTGGCATGTTATCATCACTGTATGAAAACGAACACCAGCAGAGAGTATCTTTCACTCTACACTATGAAAGATTTCAAATCAACAGCCTGACAGTTCCCTCTCTACCAAATATGCTTTACTTCTGCCAAGAACAAAAGAAACATGAGAGTAGCAACTCTGCCCTAAAACAGGAGCACTCGGGTTTCTCGAATCTAGTTTAGGGGAATGATTTTTATCAATAACCATCACCGATCAAGACAAAACAGTACAAAAACAACCCACAAATCCAACTTGTGAACTTATCTTTGGGCAACCTGTCCTTCACTCACCCAGCAGCCCTCAGGGAGTGGCTTCCCCAGACTGGGATGGGCATCGTGCTGTGTGATGGGCGCGGGGGTCCGAGCAGCTCTCCAGGAGTGTACGTGTTACACCGAAGTGACAGTGTGCAGGAAACCCGCACAGAAAGGAGCCACCAGCAAGGCCCACGGGGGCCAGGGAGTCTTTACAGAGCAACCAACATCTTAACTGGGGCTGGAAGGATAAATAGGATTTTGCTTGCTGGAGGAATGGGGAAAAGAGGGGCAGAAAGTACAGGGATACGTGAAGAGCATTCTGGGCAGAGAAATGAGCAAGGATTAAGGCATGACGGCTTCAAAGAACAAGGCTTCCTGAGGACACAAAGTTATTTAGGGTCAGAGCAGAGATCCACAGGGACCGAGTGAGAAGCCAAGGCTGCTGACTGACTGTTGTGGGTCTTGAATGTCACGCTATGAAGCTGAGCTTCTCTAAGACACGGGAAGTGAGGGAGTGGTAACACTCTATGTGTGTTTTAGGCCGTCATCTTCTGGGACGAGGTGAGGAAAGAACAGGGAGGAGGCTGGATGGACTACATTGTGTGGGTCACATAGCTACTTCCCTCAAGGTCTTTTGCTCAAAGTAACTGGTACAGGCCAGCTATGCAGCAGGAGTCAAGCCTGTACTTGACTGTCGAAATGAGAACAACTCCCATCTGACTGATCTTAATTTGTCGAAACCTCTGTTGAGAACCAGGAAGTGAGGGGGCAGCAGCAAAAGCTTCTTCTCACTTTTACCTGGGATACCTGCTAAGTCTCAAGGGTCAGGGTCCGCTTGGGTCAGGAAGCAGAAATGGGTGCCTCTCCCACTGGTGGGGGGGGGGGGGGTGAGTGACCACCACCCTGGGGGGGAGTTAAGTCACTGGTGGCCAGGCCCACCCTTCTCCTCCAGGATGGCTCTGGGCATCCCACCACTTGCTCTCCTCCCCAAGCTGGGGCTGCTTTCGTCCTCTGTCATCGATTTCCCAGACCCTCCTCTTTCCACGTCCAGCACAAAGCCCATTGTTTGAGAAGTCTGCCACGTCACCCTGGCGTTCAACTGTGGTTCAGTTGTGTGATGCCGGGTAAGGAGCCCACATTCTTTGGGCCTCGACGTCCTCAATAAAACCAGACACCAGTATTATTATTATTAGCAAGAGTAGTGAGGATCCAATGAAACGGACACGCCGACAAGCACAGGGTGAATGCGCCATCGTAGGTAACAGCCCAAGCTAGCATGTTACCACTCCACACATCCCAGTGCGTTTTGTTCTCATGACCCAGTAAGGTGGGGATCTTGAATTTTTCCATTTTACAAGGGAGGAAACTAAGGTGTAGAGGAGTCAAGTGATCTTTCCAAAGTCACACAGCTTCTCAGTGGCAGAGGCAGGCTGTCTGGCTTGACTGTGAGCTCTGAGACCTGACACTATGCTACTCCTTAGCTCCCTTTCCCCCTCCTGAACTTGTTAATGGGCTAACTGTGACATATCCTGATTCAGTGGGCTATTTCTCCTGTTTCTACAGCAACCCAGCCTGACTCTAAGCTCCTTGAGGGCAGAGACTTTACCTCTTTCTCTCTCTGCCTATCCTTATCACCTTGCTGTAATGAATAGTAACTACTTGCTGGTCGATGACTTGGCTCATCTACTCACTATCCCCACAGATACTTCTGTCTGTCGGCATTACAATTTCAAATCTGCCTCACCAGCGCACAGAAGTTAACACAGCAGGCCTGAGACTGCCCTCCTGGGTAAGGCCTATGTGCAGGCTTAGCCCTGGGCTGGTGTCTGGGAACTGGGCCTTTGGGAGGGTTCCCATAGCCCTAACTGCTGAGGGGTTCCCTGTGCCTGAACTGCTGTATGGACAGTGTGGTGTTTGCAGAAACACCTGCCTTCCTGCCGCGAGTCTGGAATTTGGGCGTGTGCCAACCAAGAAGGGCCTCTGTGAGCAGCCCCCAGTGAGATCCCTGGCCGGTGAGTTTCTAGTGAGCTTCCCCAGCAGGCATTTCTCACAAGTTGTCACAAGTCTCATTCTGTGTGACTCCACTGAAGGGGACTCTTGGAAGCCCAATCCCAGTTTCCTCTACACATCACTCGTTTCCCTTTGCCATTTGCTGTGCACCTCTTCACTGTGACAAATCGCAGCCACAAGTTCTGCAAGTCCTCCTAGCATGCCCCCTAACCCGGTATTGTGCTGGGGGTCTCGGCATAACCAGAATTAAGAAAATTTGTCCCCATGCAGTATGTTCTGTTACCTTCTCCAAGAATGCCCTAAAATAGTTCCAAGACCAGTTCAGAAGTGGTCAAGAGTTGAAGCTGGGACCTAGCACTGCCTGCTCATTTTAAGACTCCTAGCTCAGGCTGGGTGACCAGCTGCAAGGGAAGCAGCTTCGAGTCCCTGTGCTCTAGAAGCTGGCATGCACCCCTTCGGGGAGGACAGGCTGGGGAACAGACCCATGCCACAGGAGATACTAAAGGCCAGCTCTGATGCTTCCTGGCTTTGTGGCCTTGTGCAAGTCATTTAACCCCCTGGGGGCTTTAACGTCCTCACTTGCAAAAGGGTGTTCCTAAGAGCACGTGGCATCAAGTGCTTTGTTAGAAGGGAGGTACACACTGATGACCTAGGGAACGCCTCACAGGGGCGCACTGGCTGCTGGGCTCCCGCCTCAGGAAAAGACTTCGAGAGAGCAAGGAGAGGCACCGGGGACAAAGAGAAAGACGTACGATGGCTAAAAAATGTGCCAGCCACACAGGACTGTTACCACAAGATGAGCCAGAGCATGGATTCTGAATGAACAAACAGCCTGGGCTCAAAGGACGGTTCTGCCACTTCCTGGCTGTGGGACCTTGGGTGAGTTACCCAGCTTCGCCAGTGGCAGCCTTCCCTTCTGGAAAAATGAGGATAAGAATGGTACCTGTCCCACAGGGCAGATGGTGAGGAATGAATCATGAATCTAGGACAGTGCCTGGCACAACAGTCAGGGCTCCGTAAGCACTAGTTATAGCATTTTGTGAAGATATCCAAGCACTGTATGTTGTAAAGCAAAAGGATTCTACAAACATATGAGTTGCTATCACAACTATTATTAATTAAGGAACCCCAGCCGAGACAATACTTACAGTCTTTTCTTATCCACCACTCGTTTAACTCGGATGGCTCTCTGTTCTGAGTAAAGTTTACATACTCCTGTTGTAGGGAAAACACCAGAACAGAGACCATTTAAAACCGTTTCGCAGGCAAAGGTGTCATTAAGTATAAGGAGACACTACAGTCTTCGGCTAGCACAGCTAAATTTTGCATCACGTCTATGGTGAAATGCCACATTCGACCTTTAAGATAAAATGAAATACTTTTTAAGTAATCTTCAATGAAATCCAGAACCACGCTCCTGTGCTCCTTCACTTGCTGGGAGTGTATCTCCTTGTGGGCTGGAAGAGAAAAGGACAGCAGTCAGGTCTCCGCACTCGACTACAGAGGGAACAATTCATCAGCTTCCTCAGAATAGTTTCTGTATGGAAAGTGTTTGCAAAAATACAGCAATAAGACAAGTCTGCGTCAAGTGACATTACATTTTTAGAAGAGGAAGATTTATTGGGCTTCGGAAGAGTAAAAGATTAAACCTGTAGGAAAACTACAGTCAAAGAATTTATGGTTTACTACAGCACACAGGGATGGTACTTGACGTGCCCCACTTCTTGAGAGCTGACCCCATTTGTAATACCAGCATCCAACGCTCAAGCTGGCCTTCACGTAACATGTTTAAATCCCACTCAAGCCCCACACTACCCCACCTGTCTGGGCTGTTTTCAGTCTAGAACATTCCGTCTTCACCCCTCAGCTACTCCCATTCCAAAGGCCCCTTAGACACAGAGTCAAACCTTCCTTCTCCAGGAAACCCTCCTTGACTCTCCTAGCTATAAGGACGCCTGGCTTCTGCAAACTATCATGTCTGCTGCAGGTCTGTGTCATTTATTTTGGTAGGACAGCTCTCATTTCCTGAGAGACTGAGTGCCTCCCACATGCAGGCGCTCCGAGGGGACGTCACACATATGACTGCTAAAGCAAAAGGCAAGCTGGAGGCCAAGTGTTTACACACAGAGAAGCTAACCAGGTTCAGAGTCAGTAAGAAGCCCATGGTTTGGTACTTAGTTGCTGGTTTTATTCATAATCATGTACTTCTAGATTATTTCAATGAATGTTTAGGCCCTTAAGGGTAGGAGACATGAATCATGTTTTTACTATTGGGCTGCTTAACCTGAGATTCATTCATATGAGCGACTATACACAAAATTCTGTGAGGAGGTGTGTTTCTCTGGCCAGAACGTCCATAGCTTTCATCAGACTCCGAGTGGCCACTAGGGCTGTGATGGAAGCTTCCCAATAGAAATCAATGTCAAGAATTCAGCAGCCTCTGGCCCCTTTGAGCTCTGTGCTATTTAATGGAACCTGCCTCAGCACATCACGGAAGGATCAAGGAAGATACACGATTGGGGAGGCTGTCTCACTGGCCCCGTGAGAATGAAACATCAGTGAAGACGACGTGATACTGAGAACCCAGGAGCCGGCCACGGTGCTAAGCATGTGCTGAACTCAACTGGATTCTCCTAACAACCCCAAGAGATACACCCTGGAACTGTCTCCACCACAGACAAACCAAGACGCACGACAACGGAGTGCCTTGCCCAAAGCTGTGTGGGTAGAAGGCGGTGGAGCTGGGTGCAGGGGTGCACCAAACCAAAGCTGGGTGCAGGGGTGCACCAAACCAAAGCACCCACGGCTCCAGTGCCCTCCTCTTCAGCGCGACAGTCTGCTCTGGAAGTTTCCTACTCCAAGTAGAGAGCTAAGAATGCCCTCTTCCATCCCTGTCCACACGCCATTGACCACTGACCCCCTAAATGCCCCACAGAGCACAGGGATGCACAGAAGCTGTCCACTCTGGCCCTTAGGAGATGTCTGTGTGTGGAGAGGTCCTCCTCACCTCCCTCCTCCCACTGTTTAACCTGAATCACGGCCTTTTCATTACTTTCATGGCTGATTAAGAAAAGAGGAATTTTAAAGTTTTGAAACCTAAACCTGAACAGTAACACTGGAGAGACCTTAGCTGGGTGCACCCTGTGAATCCTGGCTGAGGCTTCACAAAGTCCTGGCGCCGCTCAGAGCACCTCACCTTGAGTTCTCAGCTGCTGAATCGCTTCGGAGCAGGTCCTCATGAACGTCTGAGCGTCCTGGTCTATCTGGTCTCGTTCTGTGTCTGTCATCCTTCCGTATTCAGACATGACGTGGCTGATAAAAAAAAAAAAAAAAAAAGTGGGGCGGGGGACAAAATTTTAAAGCAGCGGCAAATGACCACAGATGTTGTCTGGATGGGGTGTGAAGGGAAGAGAAAGCTTCCCTATCGACATGACATTAAGCCAAGGCTGGGTGAAGACGAACTGGCCAAGCCAGGAGGTGGGGGAGCATTCTACACAGAGGAGGCGACGGACACAGAGGCCGTGAGTGGGCAGCAGGGCTGGGCATGGTGGCACGGGCCCGAGTAGGAGTGTGGGCTTCGGCTGCAAGAGCCACAGGGCCACCAGTGAAAGCTCCCGTGCCACACGAGGACAGCACTTGATGAACAGGAGAACGCCCTGGGGGCTGCAGGGAGAATCACGGGGGCTGCTATTGGAGGCCCTTGAGACATGTGTGGAAAGCTGATTCCGGCTGCCACTTTTTCCACGTTGACAAGCAGTCCTCATGACCCACAATAAAAGAGCTTTTGGAAACATTTCGTTTCCCTGATGTTAAGTTAGAAAACGTGAGCTAGGGAGGATGCTCACCTACAGGAACGCGGCACCGTGAAGCTCAAGATACTAGGGTTAGAGTGCCTGCTCCTCTTCCTGACAGCTAGGCAGGTATGGCAGCACTATTATTAACAGTGATGCTAATGAGCCTAAATTAACACACTGGACGATGTAACAGAAATTTAAAATCACAAAATATCAAGTTAAAAGGGACCTCAGATAACGTACAGACCCAACTCATTCTGTTCCCATCTACTAGCCCTGCCAGCCACTCATCCTCCCTGAAAATAAAACACAAAGTACCAACCCAACATGTGACCTACTTCCTGATACTCACGCTCCCACCCTGCACCCCGACCACACAGCTGCTTTGCTGCCCACGATCGGCCACACCCGCTCCTGACCCTGCTGCAGCCTGGAACGCCGTCCAGCAGATGCTCTTCCAACAGATGTCCACACGCTTCTGCCCCATTCGGATCTCTGACCATAGCCAGCTTCCCTGACCACCCCCTGCACTCTCCCCCTGCACAGACCACTGTCGCTGATTCCTCAGTGCCTGTGCCAGACAGCACATTACTGTGACTGAGATCCAAAGTCCCCATTCACCCTGCTTTGTGATACAGGGACTAGGGCACCCCTCTACTGCCGTCTGTCCCTCGCTCTGCCTCATTCTCCTTCCAGCACTTACCACTCCCTGAAATATGGATGTCGATCTCCTCCCAGGAGCATGTAAGCTGCAGGGGAGCAGGGATTCTGTCATTTTCCCTTTGTTTCCCCAAACCTAAAATGCTGTCCAGCACGCAGCAGGGGTCCTAATAGTAGCTGAGCTTGTCACTTGCACCAGACACTACTCTCAATGCCTGGCACGTATTTCATGGACTCATTTAATCCTTGCAATTCATCCACTCATTTACCTCTATACTAAACCCCTATATGGCAAGCACCGTGGCAGGGGCTGGGGGCCCACAATTGGAACAAGGCTTATTTCTGATCCCCGCAGAGGGCAGGTACCAAACCATGGGGGTGTTGACACAGAGTCAAGGGGCACAAGGAACTGTGGGGGCCAGTGTTGGTCTGCGAGTGGATGGGGGACCAGGGGGGTGAGAGGTCAGTGGATGCAGGGGACAAGGGACAGCGGGAAAAGACCTACTACAAATGCCCACCTGCAGGTCACTGTTGGAATGACCATGCGCTGCATGGGCCACACGAGGATCGTCCAAAGTGTGAAAGGGAAAACGGGAGTGCACCAGGTGCTCCCCGCACACTGGACAGCTGGACCACGGCGTTCTCAGGGCTTCACGTCACTGCAAGGGGCAGCACGCCACCTGCGCACGGTCAGTGTCTCCACACTGAACACCTAGCGCATGTCTGCTCTAGTTTTCAAGGGAATGTAAATGCTATTGTGATAAATATACATTTCTTTAAAGTTGTACTGAAGCTGCAACAGTATTAATAGGTTTCCCCCAAATCCAACAATCATACAAATGGTCCAGAGCACGGCAGGCACAGGTGTGGAAGGACAGACGTTCAGGCGTCAGGTCAAGGATAGCACAGGAAGTTTAGGACATGACAGATAAGGAGATGGAGCAACTTGAAGGAGAGTTCAAACTCTCATTTTTCTGTGAGGATTTAAAAACAGCACCAGCTGTATAATGGGCCTTTGAAACACATTCATCAAAAGTAATGAAGCCCTGCCTGTGACACAGCCCCAAATTAAGTATCACAAAAACAGAATTATTACTGTTTTGAAAAGGTTAACTATCTGGCAAATAAATTCCAAAAAAAACATTCTCATCGGACATGCATAGAGAAATTCATCAAACTTTAATTTTATTTCCTTTATGACTTACAGACGGATAATTTTATTACAGACCCCCATTTACTGAAATATTAGATCCAATTAAAGGAGACCAAGTTAGGTATAGGTCTGGATTAGTCAATTCATTTTAAGAAAAAGGGAGGAAAAAAATGGGCAGTAAGTTTATTTACTGGTTCAAAAATTCGAAGGAAAAAAATTTAATTATATGATCAGTATAAAGGGGCAAGTTCGAAATTACAAAATACCCCTGACACCATGCCTATTACTTGAATATGCAGTTAGGTGCCTCCTGAAGATAGAGAATAGAGAGAATAGTGTAAATGATTTTTTTTAATGACTTGAGAGAGAGAAAGAAAGCAAGCTCGTATATAGGGGTATGGTGGGTGGGGGTGGGCAGAGGGAGAGAGAGAATCTTGAGCAGACTTGCCGCTGAGTGTGGAGCCCAACACAGGTCTCAATGTCATGATCCTGAGAGCACGGCCTGAGCAGAAGTCAAGAGTCAGACACTTAGCCAACTGAGCCACCCAGGTGCCCCGTGTAAATGATTCTACTCCGTTTCAAAGGTTACTGAAAAGGCATGGACGAAAGTTAAAGGCCACAATCTTATTTTTGCTCTAAATATTACACCAGGGCAAGGACACGACCCTGTCCACAGTATATGTCTGACACACACCACAGATTACCCTGCTGACATCTAGGCTACAGATATGAATATAGACCCTGCTCTCAATGAACAACATCACAATAGGTAACACTCACAGCCTTATGTGTACGCTTTTACATCACAAGCTAAAAGTTACATAAAGCCTTCTATGCATTAATACTACTCACTGTGCTAAGTGCGTCACATACTTACTCATTTAATTCTCAAACCTCCACGAAGTGGGTACTATTTACAATTCTCATTTTACATAGAAACCAATTGAGGCACAGAGAGGTTAAGTAACTTGCCAAGGTTACACTAGCTAGTAATTAGCAGAATTGTAATTCAAACTAACGCATCCTGGCTCTAGAGTCTAAGTTCTTAACCACCACCCCGGGGACCTCTCATGTCAAAAAGGTAATAGAGTTCAGGGGAGAGGATGCTTTTCCCCCACTAGTTGGTGGAAAGGAAGGTGACCTATGAACCCAATCTTGAAAGGCAGGATGTGGCCATGGGGAGACAAGCGTGGACACTCTCAGGAAATAACAGAATGGCATCAGGAGAGAACAAGTCTGTCTGGAGAACAGTCAGTGGTTCCATCAGGCTGGAGCCCGGGCCAGGTGGAGCAATGAGTTCTTGGTGGGCCTCCAGCACTAGTCGAAGTTTCATTCTGTAGCCATTGGAAGGGCTGGGCCTGATGAAGATGAATATGGCAATATCTCGTTAGATGGAGGAGAGCGGGAAAGATCGGGTAATAGGTTACCAAACAAGGCAGAGAAGCCTGCCTTACTCATCTCTGTCTCCTTAGCACTGTGTAAGAGGGAGGTGCCAGTGCATTTCTGTTGGACTGAAATTTAAGAAAGGAGCAATGGCAGAGCGTGGGTGGTGGCAAGGACGGGAAAGAGGAGATGGATCTGAGAGGTAAAACTGTCACGAACAACCCAGCATCATCAGATCCTGGGATCTGGGGCCTGGATGAGCAGCAGACATGGATAGAAACAAGGAACACAGAGGAAGAGAAAAAGAGCTGGAAATATGAAAGAAAGAAACCACGAATAATGCTCGTCCTTACAATGCAGTGTAGAAGGACAGAAGTAACGCTCTGGAGACCAAATGTTCCAAGACCGACACTGTTTTGAAAAAAGAAACCAGGGCAAATGGACTTTTAGAACCGTTTGGTGATAAAATCTGGGATACTAAAGGAGATTTTAAGTAACAAAGGATGGCTTTCTGAAGTTCTAGGACCTAGGATCTAGGATCTAGGAGAAAGGGGTGTCACTGTGAGACACAGTGCCACGGCCACAGACCGAGGCAGGCTAGAGACCTAACAAACTGAACCACAGGAAGACAGAGGTGCCCTCTGAAACCCCAGAAACAGACTGCTGTCACGGGATGGGCACTCAAGAAATGCTTTCTTGCGTGGATCTTGCTGAATTGATCTGACCATTTTAATCCTAATCTCCACAGGGCCACTCGGCAAAGTCTGGCTCCAGGAAGGAGAGGAGGAGGCCGGAAGTGGGAAGCCATGCTGGGGGGAACTGTTGGAGTCAGAGCCTGAGACGAAGGGGAGGGGTGGCAGCTGGTGGGCCAACAGCTAATCCCTCACTGTTTGGCTGAGCTTAGGAACAAGTAGGAATCGGAGAGACAGAGATCAAAACATTGGCTGTATCATAATGACTCAACTCAGGTGGTCCCCAAATGGGGCTTGGCAAGTGTGCTGCATGTCTCCGCTGCACGTGCCTTCCCATGCTTCCGGCCCACTGTTCTTCTCTTCCCCGTGCACTCTTCCAACTGCCAGGGTGAGGGGTAACTGCTTCCTGCTTTCTGAGTTCACCCCCAGGCTCTCTCCCATCTTCCTCTGGGCCCGCAGACACTGCCTTCTCTCTGCCTCACATGAGTGCAAGCCCATCTCCAGCTCTGCCCCTCCACCTGGCACCAGCTTGGCCCCCACAGTGCTCCATGTCTCCCCTGCACCACCGACCTTTGAAGAAGCAGTGTACGCAGTGTCCAGACAGTGTGGGTGCACAGTGAGCACTATGTG